CCACAGCGCTGTCTGGACGCCAGGGCCCGTGGCCTCGCGTGCCTTCCCAGAGCGCCGAAGAAAGCCAGGCCGGGGCTGCAGGCTGGGGTCGCCGACCTCCAGGGCCGTCAGCGCGGGAGGTCACGGGCGTGGGCGCGACTAGGAAAGAAGCTGGGGCTCCGCTCCAAGGGGACGTGTCTGGCGATGCTCAGGCAGAGGGGGAGGAGCCAGCAAGCCCAGAGCGGAGAGCATGCTGGCAGAGACGAGGGCCCGGGGCAGGCCTGGCAGAGGCGTCTGGGCATGGGGACCTGGGGGTGGAAGGCCCATGGGCACCCGAGGGCCGGGCCTGCTGGGAGAAGGCGGGGGAAGGTGGGGGGGACCATGGCTGTGCCCGGAGGGGACTTCAGATGGTACCCGAGCAGCTTTGGGCCCGTAAGATGGTAAGATAGCCCTGGTTGGTTGTTCAGAGGATCAGGACTCCCCTTGCCCTGGCCGTGACAGCACACCGTCTCACGGATGCAACAACCAAGGCCGGGGTCAAGGCGTGACCTGCCCAAGGTCACAGGCTGCGAAGCTGGGAGAGAGAGCACCCCAGAGACACTCCTGGCTGGCTGCCGCCTCCCCTCAAACTGCAGATACCTAGGCCCGAGGCAGCTCGGAAGGCAGCCACTGCCATCAATTATTAAACATCCCCTAAAAGCCCAAGAAAACTGAGAGGGGCTGAGACAGGGCAGGCTGGAAGCGGTCAGACCCCATGTGGCCTTTGGCTAAAAAGGGAAAATTAGGTCGGGGTGGGGGTGGGGCGTCAACCCACAAACCTCAGAAGCTGGGAGCTCCCAGGTTTGAGCCTCCCTGGGCGAAGGACAAGACTGCTGAGAATGGAATTTTGCAAACCTCGGGAGGGCGTCCGGGTCGCCTGCGTCCCTGTGACACTTTGAGACCAAGGCAGTGACATGTGACCCCTGTGTCAGCCACACGGGTGGGCGGGTGGACGGAGGCCTTGTCTGAATCCTCCGCCCTCTTGGGCTTCATAGGCAAGTGCCCGAGGACCCAGGGGCGATTGTTTGGCAGAGGGCAGGACGCGCTATTTCTATTTTTTTGGCTGCTCCACGGTAAAGAATCAACCTGCAATGCAGGAGCTGCTGGAGAGGCGGGTTCGATCCCTGGGTCAGGAAGATCCCCCTGGAGGACACGGCAACCCGCTCTGGTAAATTTCTCTGCCTGGGAAACCCCACGGACAGAGGAGCCTGGCGGGCTGCAGTCCACGGGGTCGCAACGAGCCGGACACGACTGAAGCAACCAAGCACTCATGCACACGAGGTCATGAACATGGGCCTTGATCCGTCAGGAGAGAGATCCTTCGAGAAGGAGGAGGTTAGGACAGACATACGGAAGCATGACCCGGTGAGGACCCAGGGGGACGACAGCTGTGGGCGGCCAAGGAGAGAGGCCTCAGGGGAGACTGACCCTGCGGACACCTTGATCTTGGACTCAGCCTCCAGAAGTGTGAGATCATAAGTATTGTTGTTTAAGCTGCCCGAACTGTGGTACTTGGTCACAGCCGCCCAAGCAAACTAATGCAGAGCAGACATCTATCTGGCTCTGGTGGGCCAGACTCAGGCCGTATGCCCATCCCCACCCAACCACCGTGCTCCAGTGGGTGCTGTCTGTGACCGGCCTCCTGATGTGTGACCAGCGGCAGCGGGACAGGGAAGCTCTCTGAACCAACACGCACTATGGCAACCCCAGCCCACCCCCAACATTTCAGGGCCCGTGGACCACCATCGACCCTTTCCTTTTTAGGTGGACGAATGCAGACGCAGATCAAGGTCACCCAGAGAGTCAAGGACAAGTCTGGGCTTTCTCTGGGAAAGCCTGAAGCCTATTAAGTCCTTAAACGCATTATCTGGGGACGTGCATTGAGTTCCTGAATCCTCAGAGAGGGTTAGGAGAATTCAGCCAAGATAAGCTCCTTCCAGGGACAAAACACCGCCCTCCCCCGGCACTTGCTTCTGAGAGCTGGCACCCGCCCCTGGAGGACAGAGGCCCTGCAGCAAACACCCCTGGCCCTGAGGAGGCTGCCGCCCGCCCGTAATAACAGCAAACAGCAGAGGTGTTCTGAGCCCAGGAAGGCTTCCCCGGGGACAAGGCATTCTGGGCTAGGAACCCACGGAAGAAGGATTGTGGAGTCTGGAATTCGGAGTCAGATCTGCTCCTCAGAGTGCAGGGACTGAGGCAGGGGTCAAATGGGGGAAACAGAGGCAACCTGAGCAAACGTCTCCGCCTTCCTAAGGACCTGGAAGGCCGGGTACGAGCCGAGCGCCCGCCAGGATGTGGGCGTGGCAGTTGGCACTGTGCTGACCTCCGACCTCTGGACCTAGATCCTGGCCAACCCCAGCTGGGTGAAACACAACACGTGCGTGAAACCAGACACCGCAGGCTGCGTGCACACGCATGCAGGGGTCCCCTGGGTCACCCCTGGGTCTCAGGGTCCACACACCAGCCAAACAGCTGATCATCAGGGGCCAGGACTGCTCAGATGGGGGAACCCAGGGTGATGGCCTGGGTCAGGAGTCCCTGACTGGAGCTTAGGAGAGGTTCTCCTTGGCAGTGCCCGCCTGGCAGAATCTGGGCGTGAACAGTGAGGTGGGCGGAGCTGGCGGTGGCCAGCCCTGAGGACCTCGAGAGCCTGGCTAAGGAGCTCGGGTTTGTCCTGAGGGCAGGTGGGAGCCATAGAAGGCTCCGGAGCTGTGGGCAGCACAGTCAGCTTTATGCTGGGAGGGACGCCACAGGCAGAAGAGACAGGGGGCGCAGAACAGTGGCCAGGGGCCAAGGAGACAAATGGAGAAGGGACCCCGGGCTGGAGTCTAGGGCTCTGGAGTCAGGGATGTGTTTGAGGGGCCCTCAGAGGAGACGACTGTAAGACCCTAGACGTGGGGTGGGGGTTGGGGGGAAACAGCGGTGTGCTGGGACGCCTTAACAACTGGCTCTCTGCGGGGACAAGCCCTGACTCATAGCCTCTGCCAATGCTCCTGCCCTGGCCGATTTCAGGTTACCCACGTGAAGTCATGGAAAAGAGCTGGCAAGAGGAACACAGTGGCCCACCTGAACGCTCCCACCATCCAGATACGGTGAACGTGGTCTCAAAAGCTTGCCGTTGCTGGGCAGTCGCTAAATTGTGTCTGACTCTTTTGCGACCCCATGGGTTGCAGCCCGCCAGGCTTCTCTGTCCATGAGATTCTCCAGGCAAGAATACTGAATGGGTTGCCGTTTCCTCCTCCAGAGGACCTTCCCAACCCAGAGACCGCACCCACGTCTCTGAGGTCTCCTGCATTGGCAGGTGGATTCTTTACCACTGAGCCCCCGGGAAGCCCCGAGGATGTATTACCTTGGTTGCTGTTGTTTGTTCTTCAGTTGCTCATTTGTGTTTGACCCTTTGTGACCCCGTGAACTGCAGCATGCCAGGCTTCCCTGTCCTTCACCATTACCCAGAGTTTACTCAAACTCAAGTCCATTGAGTCAGTGATGCCATTCAACCATCTCTGTCTCCCCTTCTCCTCCTGCCCTCAATCTTTCCCAGCATCAGGGTTTTTCCCCAGTGAGTCAGCTCTTCTCATCAGGTGGCCACAGTATTGGCGCTTCAGCTTCAGCATTGTTTAATTAATTTTTAACAAAGGCTGAGTTTAACAACCGTCGAGCAGAAATTCCTAAGAATGTAACTGTGGGCTCGCAGAGCTGACAGGAGCACCTCCAGCACAGCGCTGGGACCCTGGAGTGTGGCATCTAGAAGGTTCCCTCACTAAGTGCATGGTGGGGTAGGGGGTGGGGGGTACGGGGGACTGCGCCCACCGCCCCCCAAGGGCCACCTCCAGCCTCGTCCCCAGCCTGGGGACAGCCTGGCCCCAGATGCCAACCACGCCCGCAGAGCCAGAGGCACGTCCCTCGTAGAGACCCCGCACCCCAGCCCACACCCCCTACATGCTCTGAGGGCCCAGTGGCTCCTTTCCCCCACCTGCTGCACTGCAAGGGGAGGGGGACCCCCAGCTTGAGTCTGTCCTGGCTGTGGTCCCCCCACCCTGCAGGCTGAATATTCTCTAACTGCCCAGGGGGAGGGGTATCTGCCACCACCAGACCATGCCGGACACTGGTCAGCTGTCACAAGCCCCCTGAGGCTGAAGCTGTTACCCTCAACAAAGCAGCCCCTGGGAAACTAGCTGGATGTCCAAGTCTGCCCCCGGGTGGGACAGTGCAGCCTCACCAAGGAGTCCTGCTTGCCTGGCGCCGGCTTCGTGCAATCTGTTGTTACCGACTGTCAAGATGCCCCGGGGAGTTTTATTGTCAGTTCTGCCGATCGCGGTCCACAGCCACTGTGCCAGGCTTGACGACCGTCACAGGTTACTAATGTAATTAGCTGCGGTGACACAGCTACTGTTGTCAGCCCATTTTACAGGTCCCACGGCTGGGAGGTGGAAGACTCAAGTCAAACCCAGATTTGTCTGATGGCAAGGCTCAAACCCAGGCTTCCCAGGGCAGTGGTAAAGAATCTGCCTGCTAGTGCAGGAGACATGAGACACAGGTTCGATCCCTGGGTCGGGAAGATCCTCTGGAGGAGGGTATGGTGACCCACCCAGTATTCCTGCCTGGACAGAGGAGCCTGGTGGGCTACAGTCCAGGGGTTTGCAGAGTTCGACGTGACTGAACGACAGCACGCACGCACACAAAGGCTCAAATCTACCTCTCTGCTCTCCCGAGCAGGGACGACGATGAGGTATGCGGCGGGGAGCCCTGTGCCACAGGCCACGGTCTCTGGGAGCCTGAACAAGGGGATGAGGGTGGTATCAGTAAATCCCTCCCTCTGTCTGCATCTCCCCCATCTCTATTTCCATCTCTGAAACATCCTAGTCAATGACCCCGCCCCGCCTCCCCTTACAGGGACCCCGCCCCCTCCAACACTGCTTAGAGAGCAGTCTAGACAGATGTTCTCCTGGACGGATAACCCATCCACCCAAGGAGAGGTGTACCTTGCTTGGTCGACTTTTCTGGATCGGCGAATTATCATCTTTATAATCAGAGGAGACAATGCAGCTATTTTCAGCTCGGGAACAAATGAGTGCCATGGTAGATCCAACCCCAAAGTCTGGTGCCGGGGAGGCCGACTCTGTCATCCTCACGGCTGGCAGCCTCCTCCTGCTGGGGGGGGCTCGTCTACACGGCAAGGACGAGGGAGGCAGGCAGGCAGCCTTCAGGAGTCCCAACGCCAGACGGGGCCCCTCAGCTTTACCGGGGCAGGTCCTGAGAGGCTGCGGGCGCAGCCTGGGGAGCACACAGCCCGCAGGGCCCCGGCACCCTGAATGGCCCTGCTGGGCACGGCGGCCCCAGAGACTGACTGCTCGGGTGTTTTCTCAGCACATGGGAACAGATGGCTCCAGCTCCCACCCACGGAAGCCAAACATTTCCCTGGTTACCCTGCTAATTTGCTCACAAGGCTCCTCTTGTAAATAGAGAGTACAAAGGCTCCTTCGCGCCGCGTGTCTGATGAGCAAATTCCGACTCCACGGTGGAGAGGCCTCAGAGAGAGCACAGCAAAGTCCCAGGTAAGCTGCAGGTAAGGCCAGGCGTGGGCCAGGCGTGGCCAGAAGCGTCGGCCATTCGGAGCCATTTTCCTGCCACTCCCCAGAACCTGGCTGGGAAAACTCGGGCCAGCCTGTGACACCTGTTTCCTCATCTGTGAATGGGCGTGTTGCCGGCAAGAGAGCCAGATGAGAACCATCGTTTGGGTGCTCTAGGAACCCAGGGATCTGGGAGTCTGGTCGCCCTGTCTGCCTTCCTCTGGGGTCAGCTTGGTGGCCCCAGGGTCCCGTCCCCAACCCCAGTGGTAGCTGGTTCACCCAGACCCTTTTACTGACCCAGACCTTCTCCAGGCCAGGCCCCGAGGCTCAGAGACGGGCTGACTCCTCGAGGCCTCTCAGCTTGGGCAAATGTTTCGACCTTGGGCAAACGCCTTCCCTCCCCTGGGCCTCACCCCCATCTGTATACTGGGGTGTCCTTGGGCCTTCCTTCAGAGGCCATGAGGGTCTGGTGACCCCCAGTGAGTGTTCAGGGTCGCCCCCCGGCAGGTCCAAGCCCGGGGGAGGTTCCGTGTGCGGGGGACAGCGGTACTGAGCCTTCGTGGGTGGATAGGAGTTGGCGGGATGGGGAGGGGTGTGTGTGGATGGGGGTGGAGGGAACTAGGTGGGCAAAAGCTTGGGCAAAAAAGAATCGCCTTGTTGTTGGGGGGGGGGGGAAGCCTCGGGAAATTGGGTGTGGCTGGGACCTCAAGGGAGGGGCTAGGGGGTGGACAGTCCAGGGTGGGTGGGAGCGTCGTGGGGCAGGTTCGGAGCTGCAGGAGGTGGAGATCAGAGCTCGGGTGCGGCAACCAGCCCAGGGTCCCCCGAGGCTTCCATCCCCCACCGTCCTCAGCGGCTGTAATGAAGAGCTCTTCCAGCTCAAAGCTTCTGGAACCCGGCCAGCAGCTGCCGCCACCCTGGCCAGCCTCCAGCAGGGCCCAGGGGAGCCTTTATGCCCGCTCACTGCCTGGCCTGGGGTGTCCTGAGGGGCGGACCCCAAGATGCCACTGCTGGCTCGGGGCCCCAGTCCCGGAAACCTGGCCCCTGGTGTGCCTACCTCTGACCTCCAGCCCTAGGGGTCTGGGGGGTTCTGGGGAGCAGCGTGCCCCACCCAGGACAGACAGGGGTGGCTGTGGAGGGACGCCATCAGCCTGGCCTTGCTCTGTGACTTGGCGAGGCAGCCGGCCTCTCTGAGCTGGGCCCTCCCGTCCTAGACTCACCGCGAGGATCTGAGCAATGACCTTGGCCTAGGACCGGCTCCCAGCGCTAGCTGTCAGTGCCACCCCCCCAAACCCTGGGCTGCTCAGCAGCACACACGCCGTCCCTGCCCTCCTAGGAGAGAATCCTGGGGTTTTATTTATTCAAGTTGCCTTTTTAGCCCAGAGGGTTGCGTCTCATTTTCTCCAAGTTGACACCACGATGCTCGAACGCAGAGCACAGGCAAGGGTGAGCAGCCTGTGTCCCGGAGTGTGATGCCGGCAAGACTCGGGCTGGGGGTCCCGGCCAGCCCAGGGGGGCCTTTCCGCCTGGGTCAGAAGCCTGGTTCCGGCGCCTGACCTGACGTGACCAACACCACCTTGTCCTGGGGTCACTGTGAGCGTGGACTCCGGCTCGTGTATGGTGTGGCTGTGAGCAGGGTCATGGTTATAAGACCCTCTGTTCCCTCATCCCAGCCTCCCCACTGCCCCACTGGCTTCCCCAGCCCTCAAAGGGGACTCCGCGGTCCCTGTATGAATTAGAAGAGGTGAGAGGGGAGGTGCCCCCGGGGGAGACCCTCGTCCCTCCACCATCTGCGGAGGCCAAGCCCTGCCCAGCGCGGCAGCTGGCAGACCCAGGTCAGCACCCAGCCTCTGTCCGGGGGGTCTCCGTCTGCTTCTCCCTCCCCAGCCCCTCCTGCCCGTCTCTGTCTGACTCTTGGCTGCATGTCCCGGTTGATGGGAAGATTCTAATGGGCTTTAAGTTAATAAGTTGGGAATAAATTAGGTTTGGGCTCTGCGGGAAGCAGATGGACTGGAACAGCCCTCGCAGGGATGGGGCGGGGTGCACCATGGGCTCCTTCTCCGCTCCCCTCACCCCGCATCCCGACATGTCATTGCAAACATTTTCAACATAAGGAAGAGTCAGAAGAGCCATGCTGGGGACCCCCAGAGGCCCCCCCAGAGGAGCCTGCCTGGAATCCACTCTGAGAGTCCAGCTCTCCACCCCCTCTTCTCCTGGCAACCCACCTTCCTTCAATGCAGTTCAAAGCCAACTGCAGACACCAGGACACTTTGCCCCCACACCTGCAGAGTGGCAGCCAGAGGTCAATATTTGGGGATTTTTCAGACAAAATTTACCAACAGTGGAAGGCACGAATCTAAAGTGAACATTTGCTGAGATTTGACAGATGGACATGTTGGATTAGCCAAATCTCTATCAAAACAGAGAGCACTGCTCACCCTGATGCCTCCCCCTCCCCTCCCCAAGGGTTAGCATCGACTGGATTACCCTGGATTCATCTTGTCTATTCTAGAATTTCATGTGAATGGACCCACACGATAAGAGTTCTGCACCTATCTTTCCCGTGTCTGTCTTTTCCATTCAGCATAACTGCACTTGATGTTCATCCAGTCACTGGGGGCAGCAGCAGGGTGTTCCTTTTCACTCCTGAGTAGTATTCCATGGTAGGGCTGGGACACACAGTCTGTTTAACCATCTTCCCTTGCAAGGCCCCAGGCTGTTTGCAGGTTCTACTATTATGCATAAAATCTGTGTCTGCTTTTTTGTGGACATTTATTTTTGAGTTTTACTTGAGTCCCTCCCTCCAAACAAACAAACCAAGCTCACTCTATAGCTGGAGGGGACAGGAAAATACCCTAATACACCCGCTGGTCTTTGGCTTGAGCACATTACTCCCACACAGAGTCTCGTTGGGGGTCCATGGTGGTCTAGGAGACACCTACTCCCTGGGAAGGGCTGGACAGTGAGCGGGCAGGCTGGCAGCTGTTGTCACTGCAATGGTGGGAGTTATTCTAAAACATCCTCCCCTGAGATTGGTGCACAAGGGCACCCACCTGGAGAGTTGGTTAGATGGGCCACCAGCAGGAACAAGCCCAAGAGCCTCCAGGAAAGCCATCACCCTTGTGAAAGATCGAATGTAAAGTACTGCTAACAAAACATGGTCTTGGGTCAAGCAAAATTTCAAAGTACCATTGTCAGGGGTAAACGATATGGTTAAGAAATATTTAAGGGGACTTCCCTGGTGGCCCAAGGGCTAAGACTCTGTACTCCCAAGGCAGAGGGCCCCAGTCTGATCCCTTGTCAGGGAACTAGATCCCACATACTGTAACTAAAAGATCCTACATGTTGCAACTGAGATCAAAGATACTGTATGTCTCAACTAAGACCTAGCGCCACCAGTAAATAAATAATTTTTTTTTAAGAAATATTTTTTTTAAAAGAAATATTTAAGGTAGTGGCTTGAAACACTCTCAGCTAGATGAAAAGGCTTCTAAGAATCTTAAAAGCGGGCATCTCAGACTTTCTCTATTAGACTAGAGAGCTTCTAAAAATCATAGGGACCTTGTTCCTCAGCCCAGCGCTGAGAGATGTGTGGATGCAGCTTTTACCTATTAATAGTGGAATGGGTTATAATTTGATACACAGGAACACCACAGCAGTTTTAAAACAATTATATCAGATTGGGTGAGCAGCTGAGCCAAAGCTCTGCTGCTGGGACAGAACCCACTAGCCCACCCACCTTCCCACCCATTCGTCACACGTGTGTGGGGAAGATTACAGGGAGGGTCAGCTGGGGTCAGAACACTCTGGGCTCTGGGTGTGACCCCTGCAGACCCTGAGAGGTCACGGGAGAGTTAGTATGAGCAGGACGGCTTTCAGGAAGCTCGCTCTATCTGCCGAGCGAGCTGGGAGGAGGCCCTGGTTCCTACCAGCGGTGACTTTGGGAGGAGCTGCTGAGGTCTCTGAGAGCAGCGCCCAGCACCTGCCGAGTGCAGGCCGGGCCGGGGCCTTGGTCCCCAAAGGTGGCAGCCCCTGGTCGCCCTCTCCCTGCGCCAAGTCGCCGCCTCCATGAGCCTGGGTGACAGAACAGGGTGATGGCGGGCCCCTCCCTCAGCCCCTGCCACAGCCCGTCACCTGCTTGCTCCAGGAGGCCTTAATTGGCTGCGTTTTGCAGCCTGGCAGAGGGCGCTTCTCCAAGGGAAGGCCGCTCACAGGGACGGGAGGACAGGCATCGACGAGCAGGGTCTTTGCTGCCGTCCGCGAGGCTGGGGTGTCGTCGGCAGTGACGGCGGGCCAGGCCCCGGGCCTCACCCACAGAGAACACTTTCCCGGGTCTGCCACTCGCCCCCGAGCACTCAGCAGGCAGAGCCAAAGACTCGGCCCTGCCCGATGGCTGGGGGCCTCTCCGGGTCTGTCTGCTCGCAGGTAGAATGGGGACGACAGTAGGGCCCCC